CAGTTAAGAAAATGCAGCTATCTATATAACTATGTGTAGTTAGAATAGTAAATTAAATAGATTCATCTGTTATTAAAAAAGAGAAAAATCCGCAAAAAAAAGCTGCATGTTAAGGACAATTTGTACATTTTTTTCAGAAATTATATTTTGCCTAAAAAGAAAATAAAGCCTATTTTAAGGACCACTTTTTTTTTAGTAATTATAAATATTTTTTTAAAAACTAAATGTAAATAGTTAGAATAGGAAAATAAATACATTATTTATTAATAATAAATCGATATTTAGATTATTTGCTTTTATAAAAGAGAGATGAAGAGAGATGAAATATTATAAATAAAAAATAAAGCCTTTTTAAGCAATTATGTGTGTATATATATATATATATATATATATATATATATGTATATATTTATTTAAAATAAATTAATTAATCTGCATCTCATTAAAAGAGAAATAAAAACACTTATAAAGTCAAGAATAATTGACACACAATTTAGAAATGCATCCTATTATATTCAGCGAATTTGTCAATGCTGAGATATATGTTTCAAATACTGTCAAAAGGCTGAAATATATATATATATATATAGCTTTATAGCTAAAATATTTACACTAAGGTTTGGGGTCAGTAAGACGAAATTAAGGCAAGCATGCAGAAAGGATGCATTAAATTGATCAAAAGTGACAGTAAAGACATTTATGATGTTACAAAAGATTTCTATTTCAAATAAATGCTGTTCTTTTGAACTTTCTGTTCATCTGTGCATCCTGAAGAATTAAATGTATCACAGTTTCCACAAAAATATTGGGCAAGACAACTGTTTTCAACATTGATATTAATCAGAAATGTTTCTTGAGCAACAAATCAGCATATTATACTGATTTCTGAAGATCATGTGACTCTGAAGACTGCAGTAATGATGCTGAAAATACAGCTTTGATCACAGAAATAAATTACATTTTAACATATATTCACATAGAGAAAAACTATTTTAAATTGTAATAATATTTCACAATTTGTATTGTATTTGTATATGTATTTTTGATCAAATAAATGCACCCTTGGTGAAGCAGAAAATACTTATTTCAAAAACAGTATCATTTTTTTTGTAATATATTTCAGCTGCTCTGCCAGTCAACAATCTTGCATGTTTTCTCTATTTAAACTAGTGCACTTTTTGTCCAGTGTAATATTTTTATGCATTTTCTATCTGTTAAGAACATGTGTTGTGAAGTGTGTTGGGTGATAAAAGCCTGTGATCTGGCCTGCGGAGGGTTTGATAACAGCTGTTTGCATCGAGGCTGATCGCACAGGAGCAGATGGGGTTAAACAAATACAAACAAGTACTGACAGAGCTGCTGGAGGACATGAGTGTCGGCCGGAAACGGTTAATGGCTCGCAGCTGTGCTCTGGGATCATGTTGGGAAGAGAGTCTGGCTCGCTGCTCTTGCTTTAGCACCAACATAACATCATATCAGAGAAAGACTGCATCATTGTGTGCAGGAATATATGTATGCTAATGTGATGCTGCAGTCAGGATTCTGCTGTATTTTTATTTGTAGATCAAATAATAAAAGCAGCTTTGTTGAAAAATGTACAAATTATATTTTGCCTAAAAATTAAATAATGCTGTTTAAGGCACTTTTTTTTGTTTTTGCCTAAATAGAAAATGAAGGCTATTTTAGGACTATTTTTCATTTTTTAAGAAATTGCATTTTGCCTAAAAGAAAATAAAGCCTATTTTAAGGACCATTTGCGCATCATTTTTTTTGCATATTTCTTTTTACCTAAAATGTGTTGAAAATGTTTAACTAAAAATAAAATAATTCCTTTTTAAGGGCAATTTTTGCATTTTTTTTTTTACCCATTATATGTTGCCTACGAATAAATACATTTTGCATTGTTTTTTATAATTTTATTTTTTTTAGAAATGATATTTTGCCTAAAAAGAAAAAAATAAGTCTATTTTAAAAATCAATTTTTGCATTTATTTAAAATAATATTTTGCCTAAAATGACAATAAAGCCAGTTTTAAGGACAATTTTTTCATTTTTGCTGCATTTGTTTTTTGTTTGTTATTGTTTTTTTTTTACAAATTACATTTAGCCATTTTTGAATTTTTCTACACGTTATATTTTTCCTAACAAGAACATAAAGCCATGTTAAGAACTATTTGTACATTAATTTAGCACGTTTTAAATATTTTGCCAAAAAAAAAAAAAAAAACTATTTTAAGGACCCTTTTTGTATTATTTTTGCTTTTTTTTTATTAAAATTATATTTAACCTAAAAGAAAAAATATATATTTTAGGACCATTTTTGTATTTGTTTTAAATTATGTTTTGCCTAAAAGAAAATAAAGCCTATTTTAAGGACCATTTGTGCATCTTTTTTTGCGTAATTCTTTTTACTTAATTTTTTTTGCACATTTTTAACTAAAAATAAAATAATTCCTTTTTTTTTACGCATTATATTTTGCCTATGAATAAAGCATTTTTAAGGACAGTTTTGCATTTTTTTAAGAAATTATATTTTGCCTAAAAAGAAAAAAAATAAGTCTATTTTAAAAATCAATTTTTGCATTTATTTAAAATCATATTTTGCCTAAAATGAAAATAAAGCCAGTTTTTGCTGCATTTGTTTTTTTGTTTGTTTTTGTTTTTTTTACAAATTACATTTCGCCATTTTTTGCATTTTTCTACACGTTATATTTTGCCTAACAAGAACATAAAGCCATGTTAAGAACAATTTGTACATTAATTTAGCATGTTTTAAATATTTTGCCAAAAAAAAAATCTATTTTAAGGACCCTTTTTGTATTATTTTCGCTTTTTTTTTTATTAAAATTATATTTAACCTAAAAGAAAAAATATATATATTTTACGGACCATTTTTGCAGTAAAGAATATTTAAAAGAAATTATATTTTGCCAAAAAAAAAAACTATTTTAAGGAAAGTATTTTTTTTTTACAAATTATATTTTGCCTTAAACTATTTTAAGGGCTGTTTTTGCAGTATCTCTCTCTCTCTCTCTCTCTCTCTCTCTCTCTCTCTCTCTCTCTCTCTCTCTCTCTCTTTTGGAATTATATTTTGCCTTAAAAGAAAACAACAGCCTTCTTTAAGGACCACTTTTGCATTATTTTTTGCATTTAATTTATGCTAATGTGATGCTGCAGGTTTGCCAGTCACTCTTTTCATAGACAAAACTAAATTTGGGGGATTTTATTGTGTTTTTCTTTCTTTTGAGAATAAAGAATAAAAGCAGCTTTTCTTCTTCAAAACATATTTTGATATTATTTCTGACCCTTTTTTGACCCTATTGGAAAGCATGTAAATGTAGTTTGATTGTAAGTGAAAGTGTTTGAAGGTTTTCAGTCAGACTGATGTTTAGGGCGTCCGGTGGAGCCGTATTGTCTGGCGCGGCTGATGCCAGCTTCAGTGCCCGGCTGCTGAGCCGCTCCACATTGACCCTATTGGAAAGCATGTAAATGTAGTTTGATTGTAAGTGAAAGTGTTTGAAGGTTTTCAGTCAGACTGATGTTTAGGGCGTCCGGTGGAGCCGTATTGTCTGGCACGGCTGATGCCAGCTTCAGTGCCCGGCTGCTGAGCCGCTCCACATCATGTTTGGAGGTTTTTGTGGCGTTTGGATGTTCAGGCATGCAGTCCACGCCTGGGAAAATAGATGCTGACGTGAAAGAAATGTTCTCCTCCATTATATTTGTGTTGCCACACCCGCGTCAGCTGCCATTAGGACGGCCTGTGAAAGTGTTAGAGGCTTTATGTCCATCCATCCACTGAACACAATCAACTCTAGTTATAAATACAAAAACTAATTTATGTACATTTGAAAAAAAAAAAAAACTTTTGAATGATTGAGTGTAAACTCCAAAATAATAATAAGAAAATAAATATTTAGAAATTATATTTTGCCTGGAAAAAAAACATATTTTGCATTTTGTTTTAGAAATGATATTTTTCTTAAAATAAGCATTTATTTTAAGGACCATGTTTGCATAATTCTTTTTTTGAAAGCATATTTTGTCTACATTTAAAATAAAGCCCTTTTAAGGACCTTTTTTGCATTATTTTAATTATTATTTTGTTTTTGCCTAATAAGAAAAATTTTTTTTAGGAAATCTTTTGCATATTTGTTTTATTATTTTTTGCCTAAAATTAAAATAAGGCGATTTTAAAGACAATTTTTTCATTTTTTAGAAATTACATTTTACCTAATAAGAAATCAATTTTAAGGACCATTTGTGCATACTATTTGTATATATATTAGAAATTAAATCTTGCCTAATAAGAAAAAAATTAAGGCTATTTTTAGGAACATTTTTGTATATATTTTTTAGACATTGTTTTGCCTAAAAAAAAAGAAATCGATTTTTAAGAAACATTTTTGCATTATCTGTGCTTTTTTTTTTTTTTTTTTGAAATTGTATTATATTAATTATATTATATTGCCTAAAAAGAAAATGAAGCCTATTTTAAGGTCCATAATTTTACATAATTTTTTTAGACATTATATTGTGCCTGAAAAAATAAATGAATTTTAAGGACCATTTTTGCATTCTTTTTTTTTTTTTTAGGAAATATATTTTTCGCCCAAAAAGAAAAAAAAATAAAGCCAATTTTAAGCACTATTCTTTGATTTTTTATTATTATAATTTTTTTAAATGAAGCCTATTTTAAAGACCTTTTTTGCAGATTTTTAAAAAAATTATAAATTATATTTTGCCTACAAGAAAAAAAGGCTTATTTTAAGACCATTTTTGCATTATCTGAATGCCGCCGCACTTGGGAACGTTTTTTATTTTGCGGTGAAATGTGAGCTGGACGTGTTTCCCGTGAGACCTCATGACCAATCGTATAAATGTTTTGAGCTGTTAACCAGATTAGACAAAGACAGTTCTTCCGTTGTCTGCAGGTGGACTATCAGCAGCTACTAAAAATCAAACAATCTTCTCTGTTTCCTATGGTTTGCGTGTTGTGACAGATGCCATGCTGCTTGTGACCGAGCGTCTGGAGGGACCCTTCAACATGGAGTCCGTCATGGAGCCCATAGATGTGAAGATATCCGAAGCCATCATGAACATGCAGGAAAACAGCATGCAGCTCTCCTATCAAGTATGTTCGCTAGTTCCTGTCTATAATCATCATGTTGGGATATCACGTCTTGAATAAGCAAGCCTAGAATTTAGCGATCTGTGGCTTTCGTTGGCTTCAGGTCCAAACCCGAAGCCTCTCATCCCGCTTCCAGTCTTATTTTTAACAGCATAGTTGCGGATGGTCAGAAATTAGTAGCTCGGCACTCGGGTCAGTAAATGTGTCTCCTGCATCTCTCTGCATTTCTGACGCAGCCACTAATTGCAGGTTTTGGAGAAGAAAAAATGGCAAAGCGTGGTTTAACTGCCGTTACTCGGCCCCCTCACGGGATTTCGGCTTCTTGGAAAAGTTGAAGGTGATGTGTGTCATTTTTCGGAGGTTAAAATACTTTATTTTATTCCCTAATACGCAGAGACAAGTACAAGTAAACCATTGGTTTTACATGCCAAGTCCATTTAAAGTGAGCTTGTGAATGTGAAAAGTTGATTCAAATTTAGCATCATTGCTATACTGTTGTTATTTGTGTTAATATGTTGAGTTAGATATTATTATATTTTAAAATTGTACTTTAAGTTTTAGTAATTTTATTGTTTTGGTTTAATATTTATTTTTTAGATTGAAAAAACGTTTTGTTCATTTTTTAAATTAATGTTTGTTTATTACTTTGTTTATTTAGTTTGAGTTATTTTAGATTATTTTATTTCCGTTAACGTTTATTTTATTTCAAGTAATGAAAATATTTACAGTTTTAGCTTTAGTTTTAGCTTTAGTTTTAGCTTTAGTTAACAATAATAACCCTGGTCATGGCACCAAAAAAAAAAATTGTTTTCTGATATATTTATAATAAAATTCACCTTAAATACATTTTTCTCTTGTATATTAATATGGAAAGTCACCTACATTCTCTTATATATTCATATAACAATTCACCCCAAAATATATATTTTTCTTTATGTATTCATGTAAAAAAATAATGTAAAATATAAATTTCCTTATATATACAGATTCTCCTAAAAATTGTTGTTTCTCTTATAAATTCCATTTATTCATATAAAAATTCACCTAAAAATAAATGATATCTCATATATATATTCACATAATAATTCATCACATTTTTTTTTCTTTTACTTATTCATGTAAAATTTTACCTCGAAATATACATTTTCCTTTTATATATTAAAATACAAATTAATCTAGAAATATAAATTTTTCTCTTATGTATTCATATAAAAAATTCACCTAAAAATATAAATTTTCCTCATATATTTTTACATAAAAATTCACCTAATTTTTTTCTCTTATATATTCATATTTAAAATCACCTAAAAATACAGTTTTCTCTGATATATTCACATAAAAATCCAACTAAAATATACATCTTCCTCTTATGTATTCATATAAAAATTGACCTGAAATCTTGATTTTGATTTTTTTTTAAATGCATTGGCATGTTCGGCATCAACTACCCAACTGTATTCAGAATATTCATATTTACAGCCAAGATGTTAACAAATATGCAAGATTAGAACTTTAAGAACTTTAAATTTAAGAAATTGTAGAACTGGTCGTTCTATTGTGAATGTAAGGGGCAACAGTTCCCCCTCAGTGTCTGTGGTGTTTACGGCTCTGACTTAAAGCCAGGAAATAACATGTGGTCAAGAATGAATCTGATTTTAGGCACAATAGATCCAGCGAAGTTGGACGTGACCATATTGTTTTCCTTGTTGGAGTGCGAATAGTTCTGGAGAGCATCTGTGTTTGTCTCTCTCCGTTCAGCCGGATGCAGAACTCGTTCTCTCCGTGTAATTGCAGGTTTTCCAAGGCTGTGGACAGCCGAAGCCTTCAGGAATGAGCAGGTCGGCCCGCGGCGTCTCCGACACGTTCAGCGGCCGCTTCAGTCCCTACAACCCCGAGGAGCTTCCGACCGCCGCGGCTGCCACACGACTGGACCGCCTGGTAAGAGCAAATCTACCGTGATCAGACTCAAGGACCTGTGGGAAGCACGGGCTCCGTGTCAAAACCTCCCGAGCTGCCTTACTGTCTGCCGCCTACATAGGCACCCTAACTGACACTTTAGTTCCAAAGATTGGGCGCTGTAAGATTTTTGTTTAAGAAAACTGATAAATTCAGCAAGGATGCGTTGAGTACAAGTGACAGTGAAGACATTTATGATGTTACAAAAGTTTTCTATCTCAAATAAATGCTGTTCTTTTGAACGTTCTGTTCATCTGTGAATCCTGAAAAATTAAATGTGTCACAGTTTCCAGAAAAATATGAAGCAGCACAACTGTTTTCAACATTGATGATAATAATTATTTAATTTAACCTGGAAAGTGTTGATATCAGCTTGTGTATATATATATATATATATATATATCTTTTTTAAGTTATTAGTGCTTTCATTCATCAAGGACGCATTCAATTGATCAAAAGTGACAGTAAAGACATTTATAATGTTACAAAAGATTTTTTTTTTTTACTTTATAGAGTTCTTTTGAACTTTCTATTCATCAAAGAATCCTGAAAAATTAAATGTGTCACAGTTTCCAGAAAAATATTGTGCAGCACAACTGTTTTCAACATTGATAATAATCAGAAATGTTTCTCGAGCAGCAAATCAGCATATTATACTGATCTCTGAAGATCATGTGACACTGAAGACTGGAGGAATGATGCTGAAAATACAGCTTTGATCACAGGAATAAATTACAATTCAACATATATTCACATAGAAAGCAGCTATTTTAAATTGTAATAATATTGAACTATTTTTACTGTATTTTTGATCAAATAAATGCAGCCTTGCTGAGCAGAAGAGACTTGTTTAAAATATATATATATATATATATATATATATATATAAATCCAAACTTTTGAATCTGATGCTGTATTAAAATTGGACCAAAATTAGGAATCTTTTGCACACCTTTAGCCTTTGAATCACATCTGTGATGTCTTCAAATACTGCCTAGGTAGGCAGCACACTAGGTTTTGAGACAAAGCCATTATTTGTAACCTTCTTGAAGCCGCTGATTGAAGCTGATGGCAGACACTCGTTCACACTGAATTCACTGAAGTCTTTTCGCTTGACCTTTAGTGAGGACTTCCAGTTGTTTAGCTTTTGCTGGCATATTGACTGCTACATGATAGTTATCAAGGTTTATGCATATATCTACAGTGGGGTCCAAAAAAATCTAAGCTATATGTAAAGAAGCTTTTTGAAAGAAGTATCTTCTGCTCACCAAGGCTGCATTTATTTGTTTAAAAATACAGTAAAAACAGAAATATTCTGAAATATTATTACAATTTAAAATAGCTGTTTCATATGTGAATATCTGATAAACTGTAATTTATTTCTGTGATGCGCAGCTGTATTTTCAGCATCATTACTCCAGTCTTCAGTGTCACATGATCTTCAGAAATCAGTATAATATTCTGATTTGCTGCTCGAGAAACATTTCTGATTATTATCAATGTTGAAAACAGATGTGCTGCACAATATTTTTGTGGAAACCGTGATTCATTTTATTTTTTCAGGATTCACAGGTGAACAGAAAGTTCAAAAGAACTCTTGTAGAGTTTTGTAACATTATAAATGTCAAATACTGTCACTTTTGATCAATTTAATGCACCCTTGATGAATAAAAGCACTAATAACTTAAAAAAATTATATATCAAAACTCTCCAGGTTAAATAAAAAACAACAACAACAATGTGCTCTCAGACTTTTGGACTTTATATCCAGTGCATTTATTTCTCTCCTCTCCTTCTCTCTTTCTTTCTCGCTCTTTTAAATGCTTGCCAGAGGATTGTGTGGAAAGTCAAGCAACACAGGGTAAGAGTTGTCTGCTGTATACTGTATTTCCCTGCTCAGTCTGTCAGCGCTGCTTCACTCGTATGCAGTGCGTCTCAGATATGTTTCAGAGGCACAGATGATCTTAGAGCCGCTCATCAGGTGCTTTCTGCTCGTCTGTATATCAGCACTCTTTATCACAGACTATTCATACATACTGTATGGTGTCATGTATTATCTCACACAAATCTAGTGATTTAAAACGTATCTAATCAGTAAATGGTAAAAAGTCTCAAAATACCTGTTATATTAAAGTTGAAGTGTGTCGCCATTTTTGTGGTGCTTCACCTTCAAGTCTAATGTGTTTTTAGTATTCAGGACTCTTTGATGAAGTACTTTTTTTGTAAACCATTCAACATTAATTAAATGCAACAATTTTCTTAGACTTTAATGTAAGAATGGTTTCACGAACGATTTACACAGAAATTTGTTGTGGTCGTGTTAGGGTTATTATAGTAAAATAAAAATAAAATCATAAAAAACTTCCTTTAGCTGAAAAAAAAAAAATTATAATAAAAAAATTAAATTAAATTCGGGGAAAATATTTTATGAAAACTTTATTGACATTTAAAAAAACTAAAATAAATAAAAATGACAAAAGCTCACAACAAACTTCTAAAACGAACTAAAATTAAAGTGAAAATGTAAAAATAAAAACTTATTCAAAATTATAATTTTTGTTACTTGAAATAAAATAATCCTTACCTGAAATAATATAAAATAAAATATGGGAAAACTTTACATTTATTTTGTATCAGCTAGTTGCCAAGGCAACATTTCTTTTTTTTTTTTTTTTTTACTTAATATGCTAAAATAATTAGAACTAAATCTGAAATAAAAATGAATAAAAACTATATTATTGACATAAAAACGAATAAAAATGACAAAAACACACAACAAAATTGTTAAAGCTTTAACTAAAATGATATGTAATAAAATAAATCTAAAATTCTAAATTAAAATAATTACAAAATAAGCTGAAATAAAATCACTAAATACTATAATAAAATACTAAAATAAAACTGGGTTGTCTCGAAGCATGTAATTTCACACAGATTGCAATTCCATTTATTTGCCACTAGTGGCATTAAAATGACATGCAGATGTTGTGCATTAATATACCATAATATTTATTGTTAATGCATTATATACCATATTATTTGCACTCAAACTTTTCTTTATCTAAAATTCAGAAGCTCATTTTTATGGTCATTTACACACTGCAGTGCCTTGCTATATTCACCTGTGTATTTCATGCGTTCAGTCAGTCGATCGGTTCCTCTAGAGATGCTATATTGAGGGGATTCAGAGAAAGGCGTATGTGAGCGAGTCTCTGAGGAGGTGCAGCGTTACGCCACATGATGTCTGATCCCTGCAGTGCGTTTGCTAATGGCTTCAGGTCCTCGAGGGCCGAGGCCAGTACTGATCTGACTGGATCTGTAGCTCCAGATGCTCCACGCAAACATGAGAAGTAGAGCTCTAATCACAATAATAACACGATATGCTGATCGATCAATACAACTGATCACATTGAATCTCATATACCAATATCTGCTGAGAAAAGACATTGTTGTGGCAAACAAGCAAATCAGAGAGTGACCTTCATTGTCAGTATATTAGTGGTTATTGTTTAAAGAATAATATAGATATAGAAATAACATTTTATTTTATTTCTGTTCATTGTGAAAATGTCCTTGTCATTTTAATTTTAGTTAAAGTTTCAGTAATGTTTTGTGTGTGTGTGTTTTTGTCAATTTTATTAGTTTTTAACTTTAATTTGTTTTATAATGTTATATATAAACATATAATGTTTATATACATATAATGATTTTGGTAGCAACAAACTCTAATATAAAATGAATCATATGAAAACTTCCTTTAGCTGAAAAAAAAAAAAAATAAATAAAAAAATTTAATTAAATTCGGGGAAAATATTTTATGAAAACTTTATTGACATTTAAAAAAACTAAAATAAATAAAAATGACAAAAGCTCACAACAAACTTCTAAAACGAACTAAAATTAAAGTGAAAATGTAAAAATAAAAACTTATTCAAAATTATAATTTTTGTTACTTGAAATAAAATAATCCTTACCTGAAATAATATAAAATAAAATATGGGAAAACTTTACATTTATTTTGTATCAGCTAGTTGCCAAGGCAACATTTCTTTTTTTTTTTTTTTTTTACTTAATATGCTAAAATAATTAGAACTAAATCTGAAATAAAAATGAATAAAAACTATATTATTGACATAAAAACGAATAAAAATGACAAAAACACACAACAAAATTGTTAAAGCTTTAACTAAAATGATATGTAATAAAATAAATCTAAAATTCTAAATTAAAATAATTACAAAATAAGCTGAAATAAAATCACTAAATACTATAATAAAATACTAAAATAAAACTGGGTTGTCTCGAAGCATGTAATTTCACACAGATTGCAATTCCATTTATTTGCCACTAGTGGCATTAAAATGACATGCATATGTTGTGCATTAATATACCATAATATTTATTGTTAATGCATTATATACCATATTATTTGCACTCAAACTTTTCTTTATCTAAAATTCAGAAGCTCATTTTTTATGGTCATTTACACACTGCAGTGCCTTGCTATATTCACCTGTGTATTTCATGCGTTCAGTCAGTCGATCGGTTCCTCTAGAGATGCTATATTGAGGGGATTCAGAGAAAGGTGTATGTGAGCGAGTCTCTGAGGAGGTGCAGCGTTACGCCACATGATGTCTGATCCCTGCAGTGCGTTTGCTAATGGCTTCAGGTCCTCGAGGGCCGAGGCCAGTACTGATCTGACTGGATCTGTAGCTCCAGATGCTCCACGCAAACATTAGAAGTAGAGCTCTAATCACAATAATAACACGATATGCTGATCGATCAATACAACTGATCACACTGAATCTCATATACCAATATCTGCTGAGAAAAGACATTGTTGTGGCAAACAAGCAAATCAGAGAGTGACCTTCATTGTCAGTATATTAGTGGTTATTGTTTAAAGAATAATATAGATATAGAAATAACATTTTATTTTATTTCTGTTCATTGTGAAAATGTCCTTGTCATTTTAATTTTAG